GGGGGGGGGGGTTGCCATTACTCTCCTCTGAGGCTGAGAGAGTGTGACTTGCCCAAAATCACCTACTGGGTTTTGATGCTTGAGTAGGGATTTGAACATGTATCTGAGGAAGTAGGCTCAAGTCTAGGAAAGCTCATGCTACCAGCTTTTTTCTTTCAATTAAGTCTCAAAGGTGCTATAAGATCCCTTTGGGTAAAGAACAGATGGGGTGTCCCTGGACTTCTGGTAGCAGTGAAGAGTAGTGGATGCCCCTGGGTCAGTTGTTTAGAAATTCTCCCCTCTGGTTCTGAGGAAGGTGTCATTCTTTGGCCTCATTCCCACTACAGAATAAATTGTTTTTTGAGTTGAATCGATGAAGCAATTTAGTGCCAAATAGATGTTCACACTATTCGAGCCATGATCGAACCTATCCGTTTCAATTTAATACACTTTGCATTCACATTCAGCAATGGACCTCACAGGGATGACTGCGCCACAGGAACCAAATCAAATATACAGTGTGTTCACACTTGTGCTGAATCGATTCATTTCAAAAGAAGCAGGGAATGCTGTGGATCCAGAAGAGCTGGTTTAAATGGGTTTAGTGCTGCACCCCCCTCAGCAAACTGCACCAGAAATTTGGCGCAAGTGTGAACAAGAGCCATTAAAACTATTTCAAATCGGTTTGAAAACCGATTTATTATGTAGTGGGAATGAGGCCTTTGAGACACTACTGGGATAAATTACTACAAGGAGTTAGCCTTGGGGAGCCAGGGTGGCATAGTGGTTTGAACACTGGACTATGACTCTGGAGACGTGGGTTCAAATCCCGTCTGGGCCATGGAAACCCACTGGGTGACCTTGCATAAATCACAGTCCCTCAGCCTCAGAGGATAGCAATGACAACCCCCCCCCCCAAGAAATACTGCCAAGAAAACACCATGAGTGAAAGACTTGAGGGCACACAACAAGAAGTTGGCCTTGACCCAGAGTCTAGGATTAGAAGCTTGAGACATACTGGTGGGTGAGGGGGATGTCTGGTGAGACAGAGAAGAGTTGATATTCTCTGCTGTGCCTGTCGGATTGTGATAGACTTTCCAGCCACATCTTTTCCCCATTTCAAACTAAAGTATCTTTTTTTCTTTCCCTCTCTCTCTATTCTGGGAATGGAGGCTGCTGCAATTTGATGCTTCTGGGATGCCTCAAGTTCAGCCTCTTCCCCTCCCTGGAAGTGCCTGCTAAAACACAATGCTAGAAATAGTCTGCAGAGCAGACACGTTGGGATGTGCTGGTTGAAGCTCTCGCTTGCTGTTTTCTCTCCTCCGCCTCCCATTTTTCCTTGCCAGTTTGTTTCCCAAATTCATCCAGTCCCAGATGTGTTTAAACTTTCCTTTCTGCAGATGTCAGTACTTGTAGCCTCTGCTCCTTTTAGGGGGGTGAAATGGAAGTGTTTCACCCACTTGAGGTTGCTAGATGCATCCAGAAGTGAACTTTGCTTGTGCAAACTGAATATTCTCTTGTTTTTTGGAGGGTTTTTTTTTTTGCCTTTGCTTTTATTAGAAGAAGACAGACTTTAACAAAAGTTAAAGTTTGATTTCTCAGCATCCTTGGGTCATTAGGTTTTACTGGCTCTGCTTTATTAGCTTTAATTATGAAATCCATACTCTGAAATAAATGAAACCCAGCACCAAGTGGTTTGGCAAGTTTTAGGTCTACAGGCAACCTTTTCAGTAAAGGCAGAGATTTTGGTTCATCTAGCATTTTTGTCATGTGAGCATTATAACACAAGAGTCTGTGGGAGCAGAAACCTTTTAAAAAAAGAAATTATCTAAAAGGTTTCTGAAACATCTGTGCTCTGAGTTGATATAATCTGGCCTATAGCCCTGCCCCATGCTCAAACCAAACAGAATATTCTTCGGGTGCTACCATATTTTCCTTCGTATAAGATGACTTTCTAAGCAGGAAAAGCTGAAGCTAAAGCTGGGGGTCGCCTTATACGCCGGTATAAAGCTGAGGAGGCTGAGAAAGACTCCTCCCACAGAGGAGGGAGGGGGAAGGAAGGAGCCCAATGGGAGAGAAGGAGGAGGAGGAGGAGGAGCAGGAAGACTGCTCTGAGGAGGCTGGGAAAGAAAAAAGCCTGGGAGGGAGGGAGAGAAGGAGGAGGAGCCTGAAGAGGAGGTATTTAGTATTATCCTTCTTCCATTCCCCCTTTTTCTGATTTCCCCCTTTTCTGTGTTTCCAATCTCTACAGAGCATTCTATAAGC